AGCACCAGGAAGCCCAACATGACCAAAGTCAGAGTGTACACCAACCAGTCATCCTCCACGGGTTGCTTCTTTATATCAAGGGCGCCAAGCGGCCTGACCATTGTCAGCAGATTATTGGAGCATGGATTCCGCTGTCTTTTATCTAGTGAGATAAAGTGCCTGCATGGCTGAGCTGATGGACAAACAATGGTGCACTTCGATCACTCTCAACACTGTGCTTAGGATTCACAGGGACTGACGGAAAGACCTAGCACAAGCACACCGGGGCACACACAAGGGCGCCACCCTGCCGGTCTGACCATCATGTCCCAGGCTAGACAGAACACGAGCACGTCTCAACCCATTCATGGGCCAGCTGCACGGTGGCAACACCGCCAGCTCAGCGGGTTTGTGGTCATTCACCAGCCACAGCCAGGACTCCAGTCTCACCAGCCCCAAACGTTTGGGGTTAACCCCACCCTCTCACACTCAAACTACAAGCTGGCCGCTCACAGATGGAATCTGCCTGGCCACTGTGGAATGGCATCCGTGTGCATATTCAATGCTCAGGAGAGGTGGAATAGCCGACGGAGCTCCTTGTGGACATAAGCCAGGCTGTATGTCTCATTTTCCAGATCACCACCCTGAACATACCAGTGGAGGCGCGGGCTCCAGGTGCCAGCCTTGCCAGCCGCCCCAGCATGCACAGTGTTGCCATGCAGGAAAATGATCTGGCCAGGCTGTCCCCGCATCCTCATGACTGGGTGACTCGGGAGGTGCGACACGAACCTCAGGGCTGTCTCGTCCGGCAGGGTCAATGTGTTCGCCAGGGACAGGCCTGATGGCGTGCCACCCCGCCCCGCCCCCTGACCGCTGTGGGGGCTGGCCTCCCCACCTGCCGCACTGCTTCTGTCGGCTCTGCTTGCATCACCTGCTTCGGCATCATCTGCTGCTGCAGCAGCAGCTGCAGCAGCAGGCTCTGCCCGAGCAGCAAACGCCTGCACAGTGTGGTGGCTCCCTGGGCTCACCCACAGCTCGATGTCCTGCTCCAATGGCACGATTGCAACAAACGACATCCCTCTGCCAGGCTGCATGTCCACGTGCAGCGTCTGCCGACGAATGGGGGCTGTGCCGCCAGGGTTGTTGCCAAGGATCACACCAGGCTTGACCAGGTGCAAGCCAGGGATCCGCTCCACTATGTCTTGGATAACACCCTCCACGTAGGATGCTATGTTCGACAGGCTAGGCCCCGGCTGCACCTTGTCCAGCTTGACCATCATACGCCTCCCGGTTCCATTGCTGAGTCGGAGCCTGCCCTCATGGGTAAGCCGTGGTAGCCCTCCCTGCCGCGAGGGAAGGTCCCCACGCTGAAATATTGCTGCTGCCTTATCGCCTGACACGAGCTCAGTGGCGCTTGTGGGAACATCAGGAGTGATCAGAGAGGCGAGGTGGGGATCGTCTACTACCGCAAACCCCTCCTTGTCAAGCATCACCGGGACCATGTCTATCGTGTGCGTGAAAAGGTCTGTTTCGAGTACATGGCTGTCCTCTGGTTCCGGCTCAGATTCCACGTCCGAGTCTGATGATGACTGGATGGCCCGGTTCCTGGTGGGCCTTCGCCGATGGCGAGACTCCCGATAGGACACCACCGCACCAGCCATGCGGCGGATCTCTCGCTCAAGGTGTGCTTCATCATTGGGCAGCAGTCTCCTCCTCTCGTCTGCTGCTTGAGCAGCCGCCTCACCGCCACGGGCATCCTCAGGCGCCGGCGGTGGCAGCTGCACAGTAGCAGAGGCGCCCCCCTCCTGCAGGCCGCATTGCACGGAGTAATGCACAGGAGGCACGTTGGGTTCACCAGGCTGGTCAACGGGCAGTGTCATGCGGTGCACCCGTTGTGTGCTCTGTGGTGCACCCTCCCTCACACGGACCGCCCCGCCCCTCAGGCTCCACCCCCTCGTGCTGCTCCTGTGGAGTGTCATTTGGTGCACCCGTTGCATGCTCTGTGGTACACCGGTGTACCCTCAATTATGTAGACCGACCCCGCCCCTCAGGCTCCCCCACCTGCTGTCTTACCGTGCACGGAAACCGTGGGCTGGGCATGGCAGCTCGTCCTGCAGTCGACGGGGATGGCACAGCAGCCGCCTCACCGCCACGGGCGTCCTCCTCCTGCAGGCCGCGTCACACAGAGTGATGCACAGGAGGCATGACACGTTCGCCAGGTTGATCGACGGGCAGTATAAGCTTATATTGCTTTATATTACGTAACAAATAACAACTGGTATTAACATAATGTTGGCGCATAAATCACACATAAAATGATTTTGGCGCAGCTGCAGATTAACCGAAGTGTGGGTTTCCAGAAGACTTGCTTTGCACGTAAGGTAATTAGCTTGGTACACATTATACCGCCGTAATTTATTATGGACACGCATGGGATTGGTGCCTCAGCATGACGTACATACCCCTGCCGTGCCGTACAACTTTTGCCATACGCGCATTGACACACGCTTGCGTTGCCGTGTGTATGTATGTACGTAGCGAGTCGCTTGTTGGCTGATGACTTGTGCGCGCGCTAGCTAGCTAGCTAGCTAGCTCCTTATCACGAGCACGTATCAAACCTCTTATCGTTATATCTCCCGCCGCGCACTGCTGCCGCATCAGAGACGAAATGTGGCAACATCAGTTTGTACAAGGTGACTCCAAATGCTGTCGTCTGCTCCTCAGCATCACTCCTCGAAGCTCATTTGACGCAAGCGGCGGCCAACGATGTATGCACGCGCACGGAAACTTGCGTAGCTTTCCAAGCAGGGCCGACATTCGAGTACTATCGGCCGGAGGGGAGCGGAGTTGCACGTGCGCAGACATTAAGGTCTGCGAACATTACTGTATACAAGCACGGTGTATGCTTGTATGAGAAGGGTACGTATGGCATCTGTAGAACTTTTGGTCGTCTCTACTTTTTAGATCGTGCCTGAAGATGGAGATTAGGTGGAGGCCGCCGTCCATATTATTCTACTATACCAGCAGAGTGCGTGCGATCTGAAGACGGGCGACAAGTGGTTGGTTGCTTTGTTTAGAAAACAAATAACCATGTGCAAAATTGCACAAGCTTGATGAGGTTTGACACAGACCGATGGCTGGTGAAGAAGGAAAAATCTGGATGGGGCTTGCTTCCGTCTGCCGTGCGTGTTAACATGTTAGCAGCCGCAGGGGGTTACTCGCCATGCCTGGTTTATCAGCCGCCCAAGTGGGTGGGCTTCCCCGTCCCGTCCCGTCTAACGCAGCTTCGCGTGCTTCCTTGCGAAGAAAATGCGTTTCCTTGCAGGGACCAGAGCGATATGCGATCATCACCGCGCGTATTAGTGGGGGGTTAAAAATAAAATTTTTGGAAACATTTCTCGATTTGTGCGTGTCATCCTTGCGCACGGGCTATGCTAATCTATGCTAATATATGTACGCGTCGTCTTTGCAGGGACCAGATGTCCGCAGTTCTCCGGCTATGATGTTTACGTGGATTCACGTCATGCGGGTGATGATGACGGTGTTCGCGAATGGTCGACCAACACGACGGCGAACACGGAATGCGATCAGGACCGTGGGTGCTTTGCTTTCAGCACGCCGCCCGCTAATGGTGACGCGACATCGCCACCCCGGCTGCTGATGCAAACGGCAGCGGCGGTGAACATCAGCTACGCCTTGGGTTGGTGCTTGTTTATCAAGCAAGGTGAGCGCTAGCCTGCCTCCTTACCGGCCTGATGATGCAATTAATTATTATTATTATTACTATTACTATTATTACTATTATTATTATTACTATTATTATTATATTTATACGTATATTGACTTGCTGTGAAATACTGCGATCTAGGACGGCTCGGCTGATCTGTTATCACATGCGTGCAATATAGCAATATAGCAATATAGCAATATAGCAATATAGCAACCATATAGCAATAAAGCAATATAGCAATATAGCAATACAGCAACCATATAGCCACAATCACAACTTGCAGACTCAACATCATAACAATGACCGAACCGGGTTAACCCGGTCGGTCTATTTACCTTCAATAACTTTTCTGAGAACAAAGACATCAAAATGGCTCGCAACAGTTCAACGGATCAGGCCGCCGGTGTGACGGCGGAACGATCTGAAGCAACCATATCAATTTCCCTTCTTAGGGAAATTACGAAGATGGAGCAACCTTTTGGCAAACTTCGATCGCTGGCAATGAGAGCAATCTTTCAAGGAAACTACCTAGAGAACAGAAAGCAGGTAATAGACATTATGGCAGGACCGATTGGACACCGAATAGTGCAGACAGTACAACAGGAGCTAAAAGCTCCTTATGTTTTCGTCGGAGAACCGGTCGCTTGGGAAGCTCGCAACGACGAAGGAGTCGTTGGACAGATCAACGTCTACGTACCGGAGGAGTGGATTACGCCCGTAAAAAACTTAGCGGACCATTGCGGACGAATCAATCTAGCAGATCTCCATCTAGGAGATTACCACATTCAAGATCTTGTAGTAGACATAGTGGGGGCATCTGCCCAATACTTCAGACTGACAGGATTACCTCCGGCATTTCCTCAGAAATGCCTATTCTGGCTTATTGCGGAAGCCTACGGCTTTGACGTAGATGAATATGGAAAGAAATGGGGGATAGTCGAGGCTAATCTCACTACAGCCGTGGTGTGGGTGCGATGGGATCAGCCCGCATTACCCGCCAGGATGAATATTTTCTCCATTGAGGAGGATGGCCGGCGGATTCATAGGGGAGCGTGGAGAGCGCAACACACGTATTACGACACACAGACTCCGGCTTTGCCCCGCCCCCCCAAGATTCAACAACGAAACCGCTTGATACCGAATCTCCCGCCGCCCATTTCGGCGGCGGCAGTCATCGCGGCGCGAGCACGGCCAAATCTAGCGACGCCAGCTGTGGGTGAGGTAGGAGGATCAAGTAATGCACGTCAACCCATGGCTACTGGACAGCCCCAGACAATCCAGCAAACAACTCGACAACAGCAGATGCAAAATCGAGTATCCAACGAGGAGGCAGCAGAAATGGCAGGCAGAGCAGCCGCAGCCGTTGTACGAAGACAAGTACAACAACAGCAGCAACAGCAACAACAGCAACAGCAACAACAGACACAGCAACAGCAACAGCAAACACAGCAGCAACAACAGCAACAGCAACAACAACGACAGAACCAGCAACCACAACAGCAACAGCAACAGATACAGCAACAGCCGCCACAGCAGCAGCAGCGACAACAGCAGCAGCTCTCATACACAACCACCAATCAACCGGGACTACCGACATCAGCTTCTATCCCCAAAACTCACTCCATCACGCACCCCTTACTTGGCCAACCGATTCAAGATGTGGCCGGAAATAGGCCAGATGAACAGCAATGGCAATTACAAAACAGACGGACGCATCGTGGAAACCCAATTCTGCCCACCGACCAACCTGTGCTGGGCAAGCATGCGGACAAACCAACGTCACGCACGTCATCTCCAGGGGTCAGTCCCCAACACAAGAGGAGGGACTCGGTAATAAGCCCGCCCAGGTTTCATGTTCTTCCACATGACGACCCGGGTGACCTCATGCAAGTCGGCGAGGAGGAGGAAGTGAGAAATATAGTAGTAGTCCGCGGAAATGGGGATACGGAAATACCCCCTAGGTAAATGGGGCGACGGACAAGATGCAGGAGGCCTAATAATAGACCCCTTCGCATAGCGTCCCATAATGTAGCAGGTTTATTCACGCATTCGGCATTTAC